GTAAGGCTCACTCTATATAATGGTTGCTTATAGTGCCTATGTCGATGCACTTGAGTGCATCTAAACTTTCTGGGCTCGGCTTTCCGTTGGCAAGTACGATTCCTCCCTAAGCACAACAGAAAGGAAACAAGAGTTGGGAGAAATTCCTCTTGGGGGATGAGCGACGTAAGCATCTCGTGATTGTGTCTTTTTTATTCAATTTGTTACGCCCAGCCAAAATTTTGTACTTCATTAAAGTTTCTTTGGCCACATTATATATCTCCTCGAACAGATGACTGTTTCAAGATTCGGCTAGAACTTGCTGAGTGGTGCGCATTGAAAATGTGGATAATTTTTATAGGCAATATAGCATCCATACCTAAATATGAAAAACGATGGCGGTATTTTTTTTATTTTACAAAAAGCACGTTTGTGCAAAGGTATGACAGTGGAAGAGAGTCGATCGTGCTCTCGTTTGGGGCAATATCTGAGGACGGATTGCATTGCTCTATTTGTCCGCTCAGAATCTTTAGACGGCTTTGCTCACGCCTCGAGGATCCGAGTGCAATTTTCGTGATTCAGCAGACTTGCTTAGTCTGGCTGCTAAGTGTTTTTCTGGGCTTTGCGTGTCGACAATAAATGTGGAGTTTTGGTCAAAGAACGTTGCGGCCTGGGCATCGCGGTAAACGTTGTTGGTAAGTCGGGTGTTGATATAATCTTTTGGCATTTGCCTACCGCTCAAAAAAGTGGAGAACGCGGCTCTGCTGGCATATTCGATGTCGTTTGAAACCTTTAGGAATGCGGTCTTCTTTTTGTATAGGACAATATCTCAGTAGCTTTCTCCGTCTTCTCTAAAGGTTTCCTAGTGCTGCTTCAGGGTTGCAGACCTCCTCCCTGTCGGCTGATGGAACTATTTTGTTTCTATATTGGTTCAGCATTCTAAAGAAATGCTGAACCAATATTTTCAGTGTCTATAATAAGTGAGGCATGATCTTTTCACGAGCCAGCAGCCACCGGTGTGCGCGAGCACACGCAACGAAATTGACGTCATAGTCCTCCAGTCACGCTTAAGATGACAGTGAAATGAGGGGACTCCGGGAAAAAGGACAATACGGACATATTCTTCATCTCCACATTCAGGTCTGGTTTAAAAGGTAAGCGAATAATTGGTATAACAGGCACGTAGATTTCACTTCTGGAGATGAAAAGCCGTTTTTACTTTCTCTTCTTTGGCCCCAAGCCAATACATTTCACTGTCATCTTAAGCGCGAATGGAGGACTATGACATCAATTTCGTTGCGTGCGCTCGCGCACACCGGCAGCTGCTTGCTCGTGGAAAGAACGTGCGCCTCTCATTATGGACACTAAATTGTTTGGTCCAGTATTCCTTTAACTCACTAATCTGCGTCGAGGTACCAGCCTCATTTCCGAGGATACCGCAACAGCCTGATATTCAACATTTAAAAAATTGCTGCCGTCGTTGCAGAGTAATCGTTGGGCCGCTTCAAAAGTTCTATGGATTATGGGGCTGGTCCTGTCATACATCTTGCAAGATGGAACTGTGCTTTACGAGTTTGTAAATGAGGGCTTCCTTGTGTCCTTCCGCGTTCGCTAGGTGTGTTCTAATTCTCGTCCCTCTGCTTGGGTTACGATTTGTTTTTTGAGAAGAATGAGACGGGATGCCACTGACCGTCTTTGAGCTGTTGTAGAACTGCGCCTGCTGCGGTGTCGGATGCGTCAACCATAATGGATGTTGGGGCGTCGCATTGGGGGTGAGTCAAAAGGGTTGCTTTGGAAAGAGCCTGTTTGATGGTTGTGAATGCCCTAGTAGCTGATTCTGTCCACGTAAGTTGCTCGTTCTTGCGCTTCGAACCTGCAAGAAGCTGGTTGATCGGCTGGAGTATGGCTGCGCAAGCAGGAATAAAGTGACGATAAAAATTCACAAGCCCCAGGAATTCTCTGAGCTTGGTAGTAGTGGGAGGCTGCGGAAGTTTCTTGATCGCTTCGATCCGTTGCGGCAATGGGCATATACCGAGGTGATTGACCTGGTGCCCCAAAAACGAAAGTTCTGAGACGCCAAACTCGCATTTAGCCGGGTTGATGACAACTCCGTACTCGCTGAGGCGAGCGAAGAGTTGGTGGAGATGATGAAAGTGTTGTTTACGGTCCGTGCTGAAAACCAGGATATCGTCTAAATACGCAAAACAAAAGGGTAGTCCGCGAAGTATCTGGTCCATGAACCCTTGAAACGTTTGCGCTGCGTTTCTTAGGCCGAAAGGCATTCTGGTGTATTCGTACATGCCGAAAGGTGTTACAATTGCTGTTTTTGGTATGTCGCAAGGTTCGACCGGTATTTGATGATACGCTTTTACGAGATCGATTTTCGTGAAAATTTTAGATCCGTGCAACGCACCTCCGAAATCTTGAAGATGTGGAATGGGATAGCGGTCTGGGACTGTCACGTTGTTGAGAGCCCGGTAGTCCCCGCAGGGTCGCCAATCTCCAGATTTCTTTGGCACCATGTGTAGTGCCGATGACCAAGCACTTGTTGAGGGACGTACAATGCCTAGTTCGATCATGTGATCGAACTCCTGTCGGGTGATTTTGAGGCGATCAGGAGCGAGGCGTCGAGGTTTCGCAAATACTGGGGGACCAGTTGTTTCAATATGGTGCTTGATGGAATGTTTAGCTGGCTCTTTCGCGTCGGATGACCGCAGCAGCTGAGGAAATTTGTCTAGAAGGGAGTTCCATGGAGCCTCAAGTATGGGTGTTCATATGGTGAGGTTGAGGGACTCGGTCTTGGACGCGATTCCGTGAACGTAGAGATGGGTTCCCGCGTCCAAGAGTACGTTTCTCCTCAGATCGACAAGGAGGCCAAAATTGCGTAAAAAGTCTGCTCCCAGGATTGATTGCTGAACATCAGCCACATAAAACACCCAACGAAACGTCCTCCTCAGACCTAGGTCGAGAGTGAGCGACCGTTGTCCATAGGTCTTGATGGCGGAGCCGTTGGCAGCTCGCAAGGGGGGTGTTTCTTTGGGGCACCGTCGGTCCTGTTTTGTTGGTGGAATCACGCTGACTTCCGCACCAGTATCAACGAGGTACTGATGCTTAGTGGTGCGGTCAGTCACGGAGAATAGACGGCTTGTTCTGTGGCCCGCAACGCCGGCCGCCGTCAGCGCCGGGCCTGCCTGTTTTCCTGGAACGTGCAGGGAGACTCACATCTTCTAGCACGGTTGCCAAAGGTGCGGTGGTACCAGCATGTACCGCTGCTGTTTGCAGACCTAGATCGACGACGTCGTGGTGGGCTGTCGGAGAGCTGACGCGTTGTCGGACGGCGAGTGTCCAGCCGCAGCTGCTTGAGGGCTTCTGAGAGGTGTGCGACAGTCGATGTCAGCATTTTGTTAGACTCCAGCAGCTGGGGAAGAGTCTCATCCAACAGAGATGTTCGGTGTGAGGGGTTCGGATGAGTTATTTGGCAAACGCTGGGCGTGTTAACGTCCATGATTTGGTCCGCCATTCGAGCTAGAGTTTCGACGGAGTCCGTTGCTGAGGTGGAGAGAATCATTCGGACTTGAGTTGGCAGTCTCTGGAGAAATAGTTCTCGGAGTATGCTTGCGTCCAAGGTATTTGCATTATCACCCAGTAGTTGCTCCATAAGACGAAGTAGCTCCGATGGCTTCCTGTCTCCAAGCTCCTCTGATGTCAGAAGCTGTTGAAGTCGCCGTTGTTCGGACTCCGTCGTACGCCGTATAAGCTCGGCCTTGAGCATGTCGTACGGCATATCTTGAGGGGGTGCCCGCAGGATATCCCGGACAACCGCCGCCAATGTTTGGGGCAGTGACGAGACGACGTGGTCAAATTTGGATTGTTGGGAAGTTATCTTATTGTCCCGGAACGAGGACTCGATGGTCAAGAACCAAAGTTCCGAGTCCGCCGACCAGAATTCCGGCAGTTTCAAATTTATTGAAGCAACTGCGGCAGCTGCTGAGCTCTCTTCTGAGCGACTCATGATTGACTGCGTGAATGTGCGTCGGGTGATGGGCGGTTCCAAGGATTTGAACGCCAAAGAGGTATTTGCCTTGCGGATGAGGACGGTGTTTTTGAGTCCGATCACGTCCGGGTCACCAAAATTGTGGGTTCTTATGAAAGCGAGGAGTCGCGAGCGCCACAATATATTATATTTACATATTTACAAAAAGAAGTAAATCAACGTGAAGGTTGTTTGTCCGTAGGTAAGGCCGAACACTAGCTCATTCTCGTGCTATCTATTTCTTGCCCGCCTCTCGCGCATCCCTGCGTCCTCTTCTTCCTTGTGACCGTAGATCCTACATGTTTTTGTGTTTTGGCTGAGAAGAGGTGGGCTGCTGTGCCTTTTGTATTACGTGATGTGCTGTTCTGGAAAGACATTCTTTTACCGATATGTCAACGGATCCGTATATGACCAGGAATGTAAGATATTCAACTAGGTTTTCTACTTATATTATGTTTCTTATTGCGTGTCTGTGCCTTCTATTGTAATCCTTGGCTGCCATGCATTTTTGCGGAATGGGAGTTGACGGCGTGATGTTTAGTTTCCGATTTGGCGGTCGTCTTGGGATGTCATGCACGCGATCGGTGGGTTGATTCAGGAGTTTTATGATGACTCGTTTTGGAGTCCTGCATTTAAGGCTTGTTTGGTGCATGTCGATCTGAATGGCGAGGTTTCTCTTGGAATTCCGGTAATAGGACGCAGTTTCGCAATTCCCCATTATAGTGCACCTGGATTGGCAGTAGTGGGACGCACTTTCACAATACCCCACATTTATTGCACTTGGATTGGCGGCAGTGAGATGCACTTTCACAATATCTTAATTTTAGTGCGCTTGGGTTGGGAAGCTATGGCCCACCCTGCATTTCGGAACAGGGATACTTTCTTGTTTCAGTGTATTTTGTTTACTCCGTAGAAACGAAGGCCTGATATAAAATTTTGTTTCCAATAATATTTAAAAAAAAACATTCATATTAGGGAAATGTCGTGCTTTCTTTAGGAATCATGCATTTTAAAAATAGAAAATAATTTAAGAATTAAATATTAGAAGAAAACTACAAATCTGAGAAGCATGTAATAACACCGGCTTCATAAGAAGTATTTATTTGATGTCCAACAAGTACCGCTCCTGTGTTTTGCAGAATCCTAGTCTCAACGATGAAAGAAATATATATATATATAATTTGGGTCGTATACGCCTTCACCTTCGGGCGGCTAGCGGGGTGGCTTGATGCTAGTCATGCTGTAATTTATGTGATGCAGAGAGCTAAGCCCCACACTATTCGACATTGAGTCGTCGGGAGTCTTCTGAGGGTTCTCTTTAGAACCCTTGCAGGAGAGTACCAGCTTGAGCTCCTTCCACAACTCGATCCAAATATAGTCCTGAAAAGAAAAAGAAAAACAGAAACAGAAATAAAATATCAGAATATAAACATGCCAAACTTCGGTTTGGTTGCTTAATTTCACACTCGGTACTTACTGCACCGTACCGTCGGGTGCAGCCGACGGTACGATCAGATGGAGTTAATTAGGCTGTGCCAAAAGTGCACCGTCACGGTGATCGTTTTCTTTCGTGGGTTTACTATGAACGGCGAAACCTGTACCGCTCAAAAAAGAAGAAAAACTTAGTATCATGAAGACTTTGCTCTCTCGGGACAGCAAAAACGTCGTTGATGAGCACCGTGACGATCTAATTTTGGCGCTTTATGATTGCCTCCATCAAATCATACCGTCGGATACGGTCGGACTTAAACTAAAACATTGCTTAGCGAAAATAAATTCTGTGCTCTACAATGTTGACGCAACTGCACCGACATCGAGCTCAGACCAAAAAATGAAATTCGTTTACAATACCCTGTAATGCCGAATTAGAGCGCAGCTCTTGAGGAGGACAAGGGGAGTCTACGGAGAGGAGGGTATGCCCTTCCTCCTCCCCTCCTCACTAATCCTCCCTACTCTCCTTCTCCTACCCTCCTCCCTCCTCCTCCTCCCTTCCTTCTCCCCTCCTCTCTCCCTCCCACCTCCTTTGTGACGTCATTTGTGACCCTCGTGACGTTATTTGTGACCCTCTGAAGGTCACTGTAAAGGTCGTGACCTTCGTCGTGACTTTCACGACTGACCTTCTAGACGTAACTCGTGGTCCTAGTGACGCTCATGGCGTCGCTCGTAATTCTCGTGACGTCACACTTGACGTCACGTGTGACATCATTATGGGGAATGTCGCATAATGTAACACGCGGTTACGCCAACGGCAATGGCGACAGCGACGCCAACGCCGCTCAAGCCGGAAACAGGCACCTAAAAGCTGCGTTCTAAAATTTTATACGAGCGCAGTGCCAGCGTTCTATACATTCTATACAAGAATGCATAGACGCTTTTAGGAGCTGTGCATAGGCGGTGCCATAAATGACCTTCTGTTCTGGCTTCCCCTTATTCCGTTTACTTCCCTTCCTCTTTACATACCAGGCCAGGTTATAGCAATTTTTGATTTTATACGGAGCGCAAGTTCATCTGCTTCTTTTGCATTGGTTGTGGTGATGTCAGAACGCTGAGCTCTGATTTGTTCTGAATAACATATAGCTGGTAGACCTCAAGGTAGCTTGCTTTGAGGTCTACCCACTATCCTTAAATCAGAGCCAATGAGAGCTCGGCGTCTTTCTTGCGCCACTCCAGCTCCTGCGCAAGAAGCAGACGACTTGCTCTGCGCATTGCGTTTTTTCCTCCGGCATTCCAGTTGGTGAAGGCTCGTGAACGCCCGTTTCAGTGGCTTTTAACCTCATTAAGACAATAGCAATTCGGGAATCGTGGCCATTATCTGAAGCGTCAGCAATCATATACAGTAGACTCTCAGTAAACGGAACTCCAAGGGAGCAAACAAATTTGTTCCATTTAACAGGAGTTCCGTTTACTAAGAGAGATATAAAAAGTGCCGATTCATGTGTGCACACTCTCTTAATACTATTTTATGGATGTCTAAACACTATGAGGTGAATGTAACTCATAGTTTTTTAGAAAGCAAGGAAAGTACATGAGGTTTTTACATAGCATTCACAAGTTTATTAGGCAGCAATTAATCACTGTGGACTGAAAAATGCATTGATTTTCTTTTGTTTGAGTTCTTGCATCTTCATCTTCAGAATCTTTTTCTCCATGTCACTTAGGCTTTGGAGGAACACTTCCGATTCTGGCTCCTTAAGAAAAAAATTCCTTAGGTACAGCACAGCAGACTCTGCCCCATGAAGTGTGGTAACTTCTGTGGCAGCTACCTCTTCAGAGTCTTTTTCCACCTCCTCCTCCTCTTCATCGCATACTTCGTCAACAATGCTTTGCACAGTGTTGTCGGGGCAAGTTGCCACGCCGCTGTCAACTTGCACGTATTCATCGAAGTCCAGTGTGATTTCTCTTAAAGCACACTGCTCAATTAGTACCTCCTGCCTTTCAAGGGCATCTTGGCTGTCGCATTCAAAGTCCTCCAAGTCAGATGTCAGGTCACTTGAAGAAAATCCTGCGTGCCTGAAGCAATTTGCTATGCTAGTGGGAGTCAGCTGCCTCCAGGCATCGGCAATGAGGTGAACGGCGCCAAGAACGTCCACCTTGTACTCTTTATCCTGGCTCATGCACAAGAGCATCCTCTGCAAGAGACCCTTGCGGAAGCGTGACTTGAGGGCTTGGATAACTCCCTGATCCATGGGCTGCAAAATTGCCGTGGTGTTAGCTGGGAGGAACTCCAACTGAATCGATTTCAGTCCTGTTACAGTCCCATGTCCAGGGCAGTTGTCAACGAGAAAAAGGACTTTCCTATTTTGCCTCGAAAATCGCGCATCCTCGGTGTGCAGCCATTTGCTGAAGAGGGCTTGGGTCATCCAAGCTTTCGAGTTCGACTCGTAAGTGACGGGCAGAGTAGTGATGCCTTTGAAACAGCGAGGATTTCTTGATTTTCCTATCACAAGGAGCTTCAACTTGTCGCTGCCTGACATGTTTGCTCCAACAAGAACAGTCAGTCTGTCTTTGCTGAGTTTGCCACCTGTGCACAGTTCACCTTTAAAAGCGATTGATTTTGATGGCAGGAGCTTAAAAAAAGTGCTGTTTCATCCACGTTGTATATGTCATCGTCCTTGAACTGCCGCATTATCTCCGGCAGCCGTCCTGCCCGCCAGTCACGACACGCAGTTGCATCAGCTGCAGCAGCTTCTCCCGCAATGGTGCGAAAAACGAGGCCGTTCCTTTCTTTAAACCTTGTCAGCCAGCCTTCACTGCACAAGAAGTCCGTTATCCCGAGCTGAAGAACAAACTCTTCTGCTTTGGCACGGATTAGTGGTCCGTTGATGGGAATGCTCTGGCTCCGGGCTCGCCTAAGCCACAAAACCAAACACTTCTCCAGTTCTTCGTGGTCGCCGTGTCGCAGACGCTTCCTTTGGGGCCCGAATCGTGAAGTTTCGAATGCATCTCGTAGCTTGTCCTTGTCGTGCAGGATCCTCGTTAAGCTGCTTTTCGGGACGCCGTGCTTCGTCGCGAGCGCCGTCTTCGAGTATGAGCCGCTTTCGAAGTCAAGAATGACGTCCATCTTCTTTTCCAACGTCAGCGCATGGTGTGCCCGCTTCTGTGTTGCCATTGAAACAACGGAGGCGAGGCCTCAACTTCGCGAGCGCTTACGAGCCACCGAAGTTGGAAGACACCAACGCGGCAATGAAGCACGATAGGCACCACGACGGCAGGAACGATGCGGCTGCAACCTAGGCGACTCGAACAGAGACCGAACGACTTGATCAAGAACAGCAGTGTTGCATTCGTTGCGCCGACTACCAACGAGGCGAGGCCAACGAGGCTTACGAGGCAAGAAAAAAAACAACAAAGAAACAGCCGGAACCGGAAAAGGCTGATGCTCATGGCAATGGGTCTGCCAGAAGTTGTATTTTCGGTTCCGTTTACACGGTGAAGCGCAAATTTTAGTTCTGATTACCGAAAGTTTTTTTTACCTTGTCTGAATACAAAACCAACCAACTTACGGGCTACTGTTCCGTTTAAGCGGCAATTCCGTTTAAGCGATTTCCGTTTATCGAGATTCTACTGTATAAACATTTCTGTATGAGTGTACTTGTTTTGTGTTTTAGACAAATCATAAGACTAATATAGTGTATTTTGCTTTCTAGGTGCAGCATGGTGCAAATCAAAATAGTGTGGTTCTTTGTTCTCTTTTTCTACATAATCGGACATTGACCTTTTAAGACACAACGTGACATTAAATCCAACTACGATAATTACCCAAAAATTGTGTCGATCTCAGTTATTTTTTATTACTTCTATTCTTCATTCTACCTCAGTGTTTTTAAATAAACATACACTTGTTATTTTTGTGAACATTGTAAAGACCTCGCATTCGAATATTGCCGCGCTCAGGGCCGAGCAAACAACGCTCGGTCATTGAATTTCTAAACATTCCCGCTTATTCTTACACGGGGCGTAACTTTTATCATTTCGACTTTGTTTCTAGTTCTAGAAGGTGCCTGTTTATTCTTTCCTCGAGCGCGCGTCGCTCCAAGCTTCTTTACCGAATGCTCGAGATAGCCACGCAGATTAGATAAGAAGCGGCCCATGATCGTGTCGACTCAGTCAGTCCCGCTTTCGCTGGCTGTTTCGCCGTCTATTCGCACCCCGCTTTTCTGCTGTCTCGACGCTCGTGCTTTATTTTGCTTGGCCACAACTTCGCCTATTAAATCCTCATTTTCAGTTCACTGTTCGTCCTCTCGTCACTTTCATTCGTGACATATCTGGTGGAGGTGCGGGGTGCCGCAGCCCATGGAGTGTACCCCTCGGAGGCCTCGCAGCGCAAGGCCAGTCCCCGGCTCGAGAAGCCCGTCCGTGGAACCGACCAAGACCCGAGAAAGCCCCCGTGTCCAAGGTTTGCCCCGGCCGACTTGGAAGTAATCCGTTACAAGTAACGGAATTACTTGTAATTAATTACTTTTCTAGTAACGTTGTAATTAATCCGTTACTTTTATTGCAAATGTAATTTGTAATCTAATTTCATTACTTTTCCAGTAATGCGTTACTGAAATTACTCGTTACAATTCTTCCGCCCCGTCAAAGGGAGAAATAGAGAGGAAGAAGGGCGATGCAACGGCCTTCGCGCTTTTAGCATGGTAACAGAAGGCGGGGGTTCGCTCGTGAAGAGATCTAGTGCTGGCGAAGGAAAGGAATACACGGAAACCGTGACAGCCCAGCCAGAGCCCTTTTCTGGACTTGTTCGTACGGTCAGTCAGGCTGGGAGGATTCGACTGTCTACTACATGAAGGCAACAAGCTTCGGCTTGGAAAACGAACGGACTGCTTCGAGCGCACAAACGAGCAGAAAACTAATGGCCCATAAAACCATCGAGTGGGAGT